GCATTCTGTTCTTTAGTGATCTGTTTATGTTTTTTATTGCTTGATAAATTTTGAGCTCCTTGGAGACAGAGGGACTGTTTCACTCATCTTTGTGCTCATGACGCGTACGTAGTGTAACCAGTATTGGGCTTCATTAGTTCTTATTGCACTGACATATTTTGTCTGTTGTACACATAAATATAGATTAACTTACTCTAGTATATTGAAAAATCTAATTTTAATGAGATGGAAATGATTTATCCGCATGGGCTATGGAAATTGCAATTCAAAGCCAGAGCACCAGCCCCAAAGTGAGGTTTCATGGACTAGTGTGAGAACTTTCTAACTTAGAACTCACAGGTAGATGTTATTTGAGCTCAACACAGAGTAACCCTAGCAACTTAAGGTGATATCTGGGAATACTCTGTGGAAATCATACGTTTTTGTCTGGCGGGGGGAGTGGGGGGGGGTAATGAGCAGGTAACGCGGTAAACATCAGATAGCTATAGTCAGATGGTAGACTTGCTGTGCCCAGAACATGCAGAATGTTTTTGGATTATAAGCAAAAAATATTGACACAACGGGCGCTGGTGGCTCACGCCTGTAATCCTAGCTACTCAGGAGGCTGAGATCTGAGGATCGCGGTTCAAAGCCAGCCCGGGGAGGAGAGACCATGAGACTCCTATCTCCAATAAACCACCAGAAAACCGGAAGTGGCGCTGTAGCTCAAGTGGTAGAGCGCTCGCCTTGAGCTGAAGAGCTGAGGGACAGCGCCCAGGCCCAGAGTTCAAGCCCCATGACCGACAAAAAAAAAAAAAAAAATATTGACACAAAGTGCTTAGTAAAGTAAAATGTTATCTAATCTATCAAGAGGTCTGGATGGTATGGCTCAAAGAACCAGGCCGTTTCCTTCTCTCCGCTTTATCAACCCTGTGCCTTGCCCCTGCCCCGCCCCCGCTACCTGTATGCTTACTCAGGTTATAGCATTTGAAGCATCACATCTGTTTCTGGTTGCATCTAATAGAAGAAAAAGACTTTGCTTTACTCTGTCTAAAGAGCTGGGAAACCTCCCACAAGACTCGGCAGATCTCCTTTCATACGCTCAAACAGAATCAGTTCATTCCCTGCCTAAAATAGCTACTGCAAGGGAAATGAGCTTGCTGTAACTTGACAGGAGCCATCCAGATTCATGTCTGGAGCCTGTGAGGAGATGACATAGAGGGCAGCATCAGATGCCTAGTGAGACACAGTTGAGTGAGCGAAGGGTCAGAAAGGATGCCCAGCCACAGCTGTGCTGACTCTTCTTTTCTACATCCAAGAATGGCAGGCTACTGGTTTTCTTGAAAAATGTCACCTGATTTCCCCTTTTCTCAGCATCACTTCCTTTCTGCCCTGTTTTGATAGCTAGTTTTTTTGGCTGAGGCTTGTTCAAGTCTGTTGGGCAGGTCTGTTGCCCTTTTGGCTGTCAGTTCCTTGCATATTCTAGATTGGTGGCTTCCTCTGCTCTACTTCAGTGTAAAACATTGTAATTTGTCGTATTGTTCCTGCTCATTCACTAATTCACTTGCTTTGTTGTTTCTTCATTCTTTTATGATCCCTTTATAGATGAGAAATATAAAAAAGCAATTAGCTTTTTAACTTTGAACTGTATTTTCTGTTGCCAGACAACTAAACTCTACATTTGACCCTAATCAGAAATTTAGCTTCTACTTTATTATGGTCTACAGGGAAAGGACACCATATTAATCATTATAATAGAGATTGTTGCATGCTAATGATCAAAGTCACGATACCCTGTTTTCAGCCTTCATCTTAACTTAATTTTGTGCTTTGGCAAACTCATTAAGATACATATATATGGTTTTCTTTTGGTCTCTTCTAATTGTTTTTCTTGTTTTACCACCAAATGAACTCTAGATCAATGAATGAAATAAAAAATCTCCAGTACCTACCTCGGACCAGTGAACCCCGTGAAGTCCTCTTTGAAGACAGGACGAGAGCTCATGCTGACCATGTAGGCCAGGGGTTTGATTGGCAGAGTACAGCTGCTGTCGGGGTTTTGAAAGCTGTCCAGTTTGGTGAATGGTGAGTGAATGGAACTCAATTGCAAGGTTCGTTAATGTTGTCTAAGAAAATGTAAACTCTTAAGCTGGGCGCCTGTGGCTCATGCCTGTAATCCTTGCTACTCAGAAGTCTGAGATCTGAGGATCAAGGTTTGAAGCCAGCTTGGGCAGGAAAGTCGGTGACACTCATCTCCGTAAGTACTCAGACCAAGCTAGGAGTGGCACCGTGGCTCAAGTGGTAGAGTCTTGAGCAAAAAGAAGCTCAGGGAAAGAACCCAGGCCCAGAGTTCAAGCCCCAGGATTGGGAAAAGAAAAAAAAAAACGTAAACTTAAAAGATAGGAGACCAGGCTGGAAAGGTGGCACCATGGTAGAGCACTTGCCTTGCATGCATGAGGCCCTGGATTCTATTCCTCAGCACCACATAAGCAGAAAAAGCCAGAAGTGGCGCTGTGGCTCAAGCAGTGGAGCCTTGAGCTGAAGAGTTGAGGGACAGCGTCCAAGCCCATGACCAAAAAAAAAAAAAAGATAGGAGACCCATTTAAGCTTGTAGTAAAATACAAGTGTACACACTTGAAAAATGTGTGTTCATATTTATTATAATCACATTGTTGTGAAAGATACCTAAAAACTTTTTTTAATCTGACAAACCTAAACCCTTTGTCCCAAAAACTCATCACTTCCTCACTCACAGCTAGGCTCTGGGAACTATTGTTCTACTTTTTTTCTGTTACCTTACCTAAGTGGAGGCATCGTATTTTATCTTTTGTGACTGGCTTTTTTTTTTTTTTTTTACAATGTCCTCATGGTTTATCCATGCTGAAGCAAGTATGAGAGTCTCCTTCCTTTTTTTTTTTTGGTTGATTGTGGGGCTTGAACTCAGGGCCTGGGCACTGTGCCTGAGCTTTTTCTGCTCAAGGTTAGCATTCTACCACTATGACCTACAGTGCTGCTTCCGTTTATCTGGTGGTTAATTGGAGATAAGAGTGTCACAGACTTTCCTGCCTGGGCTGGCTTCAAACCATTATCCTCAGATGGTAGGATTACAGGACGAGAACCACCAGCGCCTAGCTTCTTTTTGTTTGTTTTTTAATTGTTGTTAAAAAGGTTATATATAGAGGAGTTAGAGTTTACATGTCAGGTAATGAGTACATTTCTCTTTGGACCATGTCCCCCATCCCTCTCTCTCCTATAAATCTCCTTCCTTTTTAAGGAGTGTAATCTATTCTGGCCCCCCACCTCCCGACCCTTCCACACAGACATTCACTCTTTGCTAAACTATTAATGGATATTTGAATTGCTTCTACCTTTTGGCTATTTGGCTATGAAAATAGGTATGCAAATATCTTTTCATGTGCTGGCTTTCATTTCCTTGGAGAATTGCTGGATCATATGGCAATTCAGTTTTTAATGTTTTGAGGAACTGCCAGACTGTTTCCCAAAGTGGCTGCAGTATTTTTACATTCAGTTAGAGTCTTAATTTTCACAAAGCTCAGTAAATAGAGCTTCAGACTGATGAGCACTGCACGTGCATCTTGCTTAGAGTGAAAGCATTCTTTCTGTTTGATATGTGGTCTCACTAGGCAGCCTGGGCTGGCATTGAACTCAAGATCTTCCTCCATCCTCTAAAAGCTGGTATTATGTTGCCCCTCCTCTCTCCTTAGCAAACTGTTCTTTTAAGCATTATTGTTTTAATGTTGCAACAACTAAGCTGATTTTATGTTTTTATTTTAAATGCCTTGGTTTGTTCTTATTTTTAAAAAATGGAAGTAGCAAATATATACTTAGTCCTAACAAGAAAATACTTTTTCTTTATTTTTGCTAGTAGTTGCATGTCTAAGAACTGGAAACTGAAAGTTGTCACTATTGTTCTTTGTGAATGTTTGTCCCTGAGACTTAATTTTGTTAATATTAGGAGTGGCCAGCCTCGCATAACCAAAGATGTGGTTTGCTTCCATGCTGAGGATTTTGCTGATGTTGTTCAGAGACTTCAGCTAGACCTTCACGAGCCTCCAGTTTCACAGGTAATGATGATCCTTTTCTTATTTCCCTTCAAAGAAGACTTTAGGAATAAGTATACCTGTTTACTTTGTGTCTTATCTTACTCTAGATGGGCAGAGTAGTGAATTTAATACTTATTCAGTTATCTGTATGTTAAAGAAAGGTGTTGGACACCTTCAAACAGCGCTTTTTCAGTGGAGTGCTTGGACTCTGGCTGTCTCTGGGATATCCGGTGGGCCTGGGGTGGCTGGAGTGTCCAGGCATATTGTTTCTGGCCATGAACAGTCTCAGCATGAAGCTTCTTGTCCGGCAGGCCCTGAGAAGGGCCCTGAGACACTAGACAGGGTGGTACAGTGTTGCTTCTACATGGCAAGGACTTTCCGATACTAACAGGAGTGCTTCCTGAGGTCACTGGCCCATCCTGGGCTACCAGACAGGTAGTGAGGCTGGAGGAAAAGTGTTTACAGAAAGAACATTTTATAAGTTTAATATTGCTTAACTTTAAGCTGATAGTTGTTATAACACATTTTATCTATACTACTGTTTTCCTGCAGTAATTGCCTGTTTAAAAGTCTTACGCAAGTCTTTGATCTTCTTTAGTGTGTGCAGTGGGTGGATGAAGCTAAACTAAACCAAATGAGGCGGGAAGGCATTCGGTATGCTAGAATCCAGCTGTGCGACAATGACATCTACTTCATCCCTAGAAATGTTATTCACCAGTTTAAAACAGTGTCTGCAGTGTGCAGCCTCGCCTGGCACATACGGCTCAAACAGTACCACCCTGCTGTGGAAGCCACACAGAGCACCGAGAGCAAGTCTCACGTGGACAGCGGCTTTACCGGAAAGAGAGAGTTAGACGTTGACTCCCAATGCATGAGGGTAAAAGCGGAAGCTGAGGACAAGTGCCCAGAGACTAGGCTTTTGACAGCTGCATCGCTGCCCTTCTCAACCCCAGCAGAGCTCCACCCACCACAGGCTCCAAAGACAAGGCCTGTGCCCATTTTCAAGGTGGAAAGTAGACTGGACTCTGACCAGCAACACAATCCGCAGGAACACTCAAGCACTCCTGTCTGATATGTACATACTCAAACACATTTTTTAACTTTTTTAAATTTTGATGTGAAGTTATAGTTTTATAACTGGCTTACGTTAAGTTTTATTGGAGAAATCTTGCTTATAATTCTATAAAGAGAAATGACATTCCACAAATGTCAGGCATATCTTTTTTACACAGATTATGCAGAGTTTAGAGTTGTATCTTATCCCGTTAGTACAGTCTGTAATAGTGGGTCTGCTGCTATGTTCTGTTGTAAGGTGTGAGGTAACAATTCAATCTCTTCAAAACAAGAATTTTCTCTAATAACAGATTCTTATTTGATAATTATTTACTTCCCTTATCTTGCCTTGCCTCTGCCATATTTGCTGTTTTTCTTTTTTAAATGTAAATCAGATTTGTGGTTTAGTACTGTGTCTTCAGGGCACAAAATCAGTTTCCACAGTAAAAATGGCATGGGTTGCAGGACAGAGGTCCTGCAACTGTGTATGTGGGCAAGTAAGTTATTTATCCAGCTGTAAAGAACAGGTTTCTAAGCAAATTCAGTGGCTCTCTGGCTTCTTAACAAAAGAGGAAGCACAGCATTTTCTGACTGTCTTTTTTGTAACTGTTATTTAAAGCCCAGTGGATATTTCAATTAAAAAATGTAAAGAAGAATAGTCCTTGGTCATTCATTATGCAATGATTCATTCTTTTCCAGAGTAATGGTCTCTGTAGAAGACGAGGTGGTCAAGGGAGACGGTGTCGATGTGTCATTCATGCCCGCACCATCCATTTGGTTTCTAAACTTACCACAAGACCGTTCTTTCTGATAAAGCTACCATACTGGGATAGCAAACTGGTTGTGACTTGATGTCAGCCTCTTTGTAAGTGTCTAGTTAGGAGACCCCTCACAGCTTCACCTGGAGAATAACTGGGCTTCTTTACTGTTTTGCTAATTTGTAATAGAGAACAGGCACTAGGCTTTATGCTAGAGTTGCAGGAAGATTAAAGCCCATTGCCTCAGTATTATTATTTCTTCTTTTCTTTTTCTTTCTTCCTTCTCCATTCTCTTCCCTTCTCCCCCTTACTCTCCCCTTCTGCTCCCTTTTGCCCCCTCCCCCTCCTCTTTCCTCCCTCCTCCTGTGTCCCTACTCCCTCCTCTTTACTTCCTCTTCCTTCTTCCCTTCTTGTCCTTCCTTCTTTTTATTCTGTTTTCATATAGGCACAGTTCATATAGCTAGTGTGGTATCAACTTTCTGTTAATTGAGGATGCTAGTGTGTTATCTTGTTCTTTCTCTTAATGATACTGTGTCCTTTTTGTTTCTTAAAGGAAGAGTACTCCCCACACCTAAGACCAGATTTTCATATCTACCTGGTTACAGTGCAATTTGATCCCCCCCTAGTCAGATTTGAAATATTTGCATTAACATAGGCAAAAAAAAGATGCTGCTTCATATGTCAGTCAACATGAACACTTTGCTGCATCTTTTGAACTATCAAATATGAATTTTCTCTAACATATTCTGAAATAGGTTAATCTTATATAAATATTACTTTGTGCAATATTGTTGTGTAGTTAAATGCATATTAGCAAAGTTTAGAGGTCACTGTGTAAACCAATAGAAAAGTAACCATCAGCAAATACTACGGTGATTAGTTAGAATCTGTATTATTCCTTATATATATAAATATGTATATGTATATGTAATCTTTGTTACAAAGGATGAAGAAAAATAGACACATTTCAATGTAAACCATTTTATGAATTGGAAGTGATGTTGGTTTTAGTTATCTTTGTAAATAAGGTAATTAGAATGGTATGAATGGTTATGTGATTATTACAAAGGTGTTTTTAAATCCTGTGTATAAATTCTAGGGTAAATTCTAGTTTATCAAGACTAGTTTTTAAGGGTTTTTGAGGGTATTTTTTTTGTCGTTGTTGTTATTTTGTGGGAAGGGGTTTATCACAAAGTGTGTGGGTTTGGGTAATTTCTTATTTTTTACTTTTCTGTCCGGAAGAATTTCATAGAGCTTTACCAGGCTGTTGCAAAGTAAAATTCTTCTCAGGCAACATTAACTTTTAAAAATAATCATGAAGAATAAGGCTGTTAAAGCAAAAAGTTTTCATTCTTGTTTTTCTTGTCTTCCAAGATCCAATTCCCCCTCCCAGTTACCACCCAGCAGACGCTGTCCGTGTCTCAGCTGGTCACTTCTAATGAACTAGGAGGCCGTCCCCTGACAGCCAGCACTGTGTATAATCGCTCAGGAACCAGTGGGTCTGCAGAAACACAGTCAAAAGAAGCAAATCCCATTTTCCTTTTATAACACTACCCTCACAAACACACGAAAAGAATATAAGAAATGCTTAAAATCATGTACTAATAAATTGATTGTATGTTAGACTTGTGATAGAATGGAGAGAAACATTTAGCTAGTAGTGTATCTGGGGGCTGACTGAGCGTCCCATGTGAGTGTTAGATTTTGATAGCATGCTTTGAAGACTGATGAATATAAATGCAGAAGTTTTGAGTTTCTGACTGCTCTCAAAGCTATATCCTAGTTTAGTGATAATAAATGACTGCAATTTTTCTAAATCATTAAATTGGTTATTTGGTTTGATGGAGCAAGGCGTGGAGCAGTCTGGCGTCTTCTGACTTGTAATGTGGTGACGGCAGTGACAGACGCTGCTCTTCCTTTTTGGTATACTATCTATCTGTCGTGCCAATTCCTGAGGTTACTTGCAGAACGTTGCTATAAGTTTTAGTACTTTGTGGAGCAGAGGGATAATTTTAAAATGTGCATATGGAAAGGACTTAATATTCCTAACAGTAAATAGAATGATTTTATGGTAACTACTAAAAAGGAAATGTCTTCCCTCCCACCCAGGAAGCCGTTCTATAATTACCAAGATAATGCGAGGATTCTAAGAGGCATCCCAAATTCATAAAGCAATAATAATAAAAACCTACATTTTGTTTCCCTCCTCCAAAGTCTTAACAATTTAAAGATGGAATTCCTAGGCTTAATTTATTAACTAAATTTTCTTTGTGTATTGTTTTTAGTTGAGGACTTGAAAAATCTCCTTCCCTTCAAAGACTATCAACTGACTAGTATTTCAAGCTCTTATATGGGGAAAAGGAGCTTAATAAATAAAACTCTTTACTAGACCTTAGAAAAAGATGTCGAATCAGTGTTAATAAAGGTCACATTTAATGACGAGAAACTTGCTGCCTTTCTCTATATAAATATTGTCTAGAGAGAAAGTGAATATAGGAACAAGACTCCAAAAATCCATGAAAATATATTCTTGGTGAATATATTCATGATCATCAACATTAGCCAGTTATCTTTCCATCTTTAACATTGTATATCTGTAGGGTAATTGAGTCTTCATGTATTCCATCATTACTACTGGGTTTAAAAGGACTTCAGTCTCACACACAAAGGTTCATGGTTGTGCCAAGTGTCACGTTTTTAAAACAGGTTGTGGCTGTATTTATTGGTCATGCAAGTAGAGGAAATGACAATACAAACTTTTTTTTTAAGTGCAAAAAGGATTTATCCTCATCTTGTTGCTCTAGAAGCAAGTCTCTTTCTCCATCGGTGTCTGGGCCTTCCATTTCCTCATGCATTTTAAGGTCGATGTGCGCATGTAGAGACCCCTGTCTCTTATTAAGATATAGCACTTTTCAAATCTCTCTAAAAAAAAAACTTACATACTACTATCACCTGTTGTAAATTTTTCATGTAATAGTGTTTTTTTTTGTGACTAACCTTCATTTTGATTGGCAGCTAAGACTCCCTCCCTTCCCTTCCCCTCCCCCTCTCGTGGCTTTAATTTATCTAAGAGTTTTTTGCATATAGATGAAATGTATAATTTGCCTGGCAGACTATTTGCGTTGTGTGGCCTTAGTTTATTGACATTAACAGGTGTTTTAAAAGGTTTTTAAGGAATAGTCTTAAATCTGAATTTGTGTGAATAATCCTTTTAACACTGCTTTTTTGTAGTTGTCTAAGTGTGTAAAATTGTTAAGCTATTTCTTTGTAAAATAGGACAATGGAATGCATAGAGGTTTTTTTTCCTGTAAAGTATTTTTTTAATAAACAAAGTCTGATTTGTCCTCTACTTCTGTGTGACCACAGAACGAGCAGCACGTGTTAGTTCACCGCCGGACCTCATTAGCCTCTGACCCCCTCCTCCTCTCTGCCGGGTTTAAATGTTCCTAAGGAGATCTTGCCCTGGCCTTCTCGTGGGTGTGTGGCCGTGATGTCCGGCTGGTTAAACGCGTGGTGCCAGCCGACCTGGAGCACTTCCCTCTGGTTGATACTGTGGCGTCCGTGCTGTGGCCCAGTTGAGTCGAGACCTTTAGAGTAAGGGCCGGGCTGCTCCCTTGGGTGAGGGTGAGGAGGGAGTGTGAACCGTACTGGGGAGGCAGCCGGTGGGAGCGTCAAGTGAGGGTCTTCCAGCCACCTGCGGGCTAAGCAGCAAGTACAGTGCTCCTCCTGTTGGTGTGAGCTTGTCATCTGCCGTTGGTGTCACCTGCCGTTGGTGTCACCTGTGCGCGGAGGCCGTGGCCCTGGCCTCTAATCCCACACAGCGAGTCGGGCGGTCCCCGTCGTGCGGGCCGCGGTGGAGTCGGGTGGCCCCGTTCAGCCCGGCCCAGTGGTTGGAGCCCAGCCCGAGCCGCGGCTCTGTACGGGGATGGCGTCGGGTTTCCTGCCGGGCCTCGGCCTCAGGAGCCCCGAGTTGCTGGCTCCGGCGTGCCCTCCTCCCGGACCCGAACGCCAAGCACGGGAGCCGCGCCGGGCAGCCGCGGGACGAAGGGAAGGAACCTAAGAGACCCGGAGCCCCCAGGCCAGCGATCAGGCCTGGGACGGCCTCCTGCCGCTGCTGGCGGCGGGGCGGGGCTAGAGGCGGTGCAGACACGCGCGGGGCGGGGTCTTGTGTGGGCAGGGGCGGGGCCAAAGCGGTTGTGGGCAGGGCAGGGGGGCGGAGGGAGCGGCGCATCCGGGGCGGGGCCTGGTGGGAGGGGGGGCTGCGCATCCGGGGCGGGGCCTGGTGGATGCGGGTGGTATTGCCGAGGGGCGGAGCCACCTCTGCGGACAAAGCGGGAAGCGGAAGGCGGTTGTCACCCAGCTCTCGGCCGGCCGGGTCGCTTCC